ATATTCTTTTTTATGTGGATGAAATGTTCTATAGATGTCTGTTAATCCCAGTTGAATCATTACTTTTATTAGACCCTTTGCTTCTTTGTTTTGTTTCTGTCTGTTATTTTTGTGTATTGATGAGAGTTGTGTGTTGAAACCTCCCACTATAAGTGTGTGGGGCTTTATATGTGATTTAGTGTTTTAGTAATGTTTCTTTTACGAATGTAGATGCCTTTTTATTTGGGGAATAGATATTCAGGATAGACAATTCAGGATAGACAATTCATCTTGGTGTATTTTGCCAGTGATGAGTATGTATTAACCTCCTTCATCTCTTTTGATTGATTTTACTTTAAAGTCTAATTTGTTGGAAATTAGGATTGCTACCCCTGCTTGTTTCTTGGGTCCATTTGATTGGAAAAAATTTTCCCAACCTTACCTCTCAGGTAATGTCTGTCTTTGAGGGTGAGGTGTGTTTCTTGTATGCAGCAGAAAGATGTGTTCTGTCTTCGAATCCATTCTGCTAGCCTGTGTCTTTTTATATGTAAGTTAAGGCCACTAATGTTGAGGGATATTAATGACCATTGATTGCTCATGCTTCTTTGATTTGCAATGGTTGTTGTTGGTAGAATTATGTGTGGAATTCACCCCTTTGTTCTTTTGGCTGTTGGTTGAAAGGTATTCTCTAATGCCTATGTTTTTCTGGTTGTAGTTAACTTCCTTGGGTTGGAGTTTTCCTTCCAAAACTTTCTGTAGGGCTAGTTTAGTGGATACGTATTGCTTGAAGCTAGTTTTGTCAAGGAATATTTTGTTTTCTCCATCTACAGTGTTTGAGAGCTTTGCCAGGTATAGTAGTCTGTGCTGGCATCCGTAGTCTCTTAGTGTTGGTAGAATATCTATCCAGGACCTTCTGGCTTTCAGAGTTTCCATGGAGAAGTCAGGTGTAATTCTGATAGGTCTGCCTTTTTCTTAGCTGCTCTTAATATTCTTTCTTTATTCTGTATATTTGGGATCTTGATTATTATGTGGCAAGGGGACTTTTTTGTGATCCACTCTATTTGGTGTTCTGTAAGCTTCTTGTACCTTCATTGGCATGTCTTTCTTAAGGTTGGAAAAGTTTTCTTCTATGATTTTGTTGAATATGTTTTCTGCCCCTTTGAGGTTGTTTTCTGTTTTCTTCTCCTTCTTCTATACCTAATATTCTTTGGTTTGGTCTTTTCATGTTGTCCCATATTTTCTGGATGTTTTGTGTTAAGGATTTGTTGGACTTAAGATTTTCTTTCGTTGATGAATCCATTTCTACTAGGGTATCTTCAACACCTGAGATTCTCTCTTCCCTCTCTTTTATTTTTGGGTAATGCTTGTATCGGTAGGACCTGACCATTTGCCCAGCTTTTCTATTTCCAGCCTTTCTTCAGATTGTGTTTTTTTATTGTATCTATTTCAGTTTTCAACCCTTTCCCTGTTTGCATTGTTTCTTGCAATTTTCGTCCATTTGTTGCGTTTTATGATTTTTTCTTTTGGTTTGCTTTTTCTTCCACTTCCTACCTTTTTTGCTTTGTTTCTTCTTCCATTTCTTTCATTTTTGTTTTGTTTTTTTCTTCCATTTCTCACAGTTTGTCTTTGTTTCTTCTTCCATTTCTTGCATTTTTTGGTTTGTTTTTTCATCCATTTCTTTGAGGGATTTTCCTATATCCTCTTTTAGGGCCTCTATCATTTTCATGAAAGTGGTTTTAAGGTTATTCTCTTCTGCTTCATTTGCATTGGAATGTTGGAGTCTTGCTGGTGTGGAGTCTATAGAATCTGGTGGTGTCATATTTGTTTTTCTGTTGCTGAGTGTGTTTTTGTGTTGTCTCTTTTCCATCCCTTCTTCTAGTGGGTACAGAAAGAGCCCCTTACTGGTCTGGGGGTTACGGGATCAGAGTTGCTTTTGGTGGGTGCTAGCAAGACCAATAATCTGGTAGCTCTTCTATTCCTTGTCCCCATTGTGGTCCCTTGGTTGGAGAAGAAGACCAGGAATCTGGGGTGCTTAGCCTCTCACCTGGTCCCCTGGACCCTTTGCGGTATCTGCTGGTTTCCTGGTCTCATTGGTGGGAGAGAAGACCTGGAGTCTGGGGTGTTTTGCTCCCTCTGGGATTGGAAGCTCTGTGCAGTTCCCAGGCGATCCCCAGGCACTGGGACACAGGCCTAGATGCAGGGTCTGTTTTACCTGGACCTGCTTGAACAGCTGGTCCCCTGGTCTCCCTGGCCCTCTGTTTTCCTGGACCCCCCAGTTCACAGCAACAAGTATTGTTAAACAGTGAGCTGTCTTTCCAACCTCCATTCCTTTCTGCCTCATGCATTAAGTTTACCCACAGCTCTCTTTTTGTGCTTACTACATATTTTCAAATCCATATTTATTTATATTTGTCCTTTTTGAATGAGCTTGGGCATAGGAAAACTGGCAAGGAGGAATTTAACTTTTATTAGGTAATTTGGAACTTCCATGTTTCTTGACATATTTTATGTGACTCATATAAACCTATGAAAAAATGCCAGGGTATTCTCCACCTAGTGGACCTGTCTTATTGTTGCATCTCAGACCGCAACTTCTTACTTTTACAATTGTAGTGTGTTATTCAAATGTCAATTGACTACTGCTCTGTAGATCTATTTATATCATTGGGCCATATGTTTCAACTGCCATAGCTTATACCAACAAATACTTCTACATCCTATTTTTCATATAACATGTGAACACACACTGTATCAATACACGATCATACCATCAACATACTAATGCATAAGGAATGAATGATCTGTCTTTCTGCTAGATTTTCTCTCTTCCTTTCTCTTTTCTTCTCTCCCTCTCTCTTTTTCTTTCTTTTTTTGTTTATATTTTCTTGGAAAAGTCTAGTATCATTTACTTGTCAAAAAGCCGTTTCTCTTTTTACTAGAGCTGATTAATCTTCAGAGTAATCTGAGAATCAACATAGTAGGATGCTCACCTCTGCATTAAGGAAAAACTGTGCAGACATGATCTTTAGGCTCTATCAGATACATTGTGACTTACTGGATTTGACAGAATTTCTCAGGCCCTCATCAACTCATAGTAGACTACCTCAGCTGCTTTCCCTTCCTGGGAGAACTGTATCCTTTAGCCAGAACATTCCACCTCTGCTGAGCTCAAGGATAACTTACAATCTTGTTCAAATACCTGCTTTTCTTTCAGCATGTCCTAGTTTTGCATTTTTACAAGCTGTCTAAAGTCCCTGTTTTCATTAGGAAAGTGAAACCCACAGGAAGAATATATATAAAAGTTAACTGCTTGGCCAGACAGTAGTGACAAACAACATTATTCCCAGCACTTGGGAGGCAAAGGCAGGTGGGCTTCTGAAAAAAGGAGATCTACAGAGGGAGTGTCAGGATACCCAGGGTCACACAGAGAACCCTGTCTTGAAACACAGAAACCAAAACAAAACAAATTAATTGTTAGTAACAGTATTCAAAAGACAACAACAAATGTAGCAGTGTACAAGGCAAGGTCAGGTTCTGATCATGTCTACAGCTTACTGGATAGGTGATTGCCAGCTTGACTTTCACCTCCTGGGAAAACCCTATGTCACAAGCGAAGTGGAATATTTCACCTAAAGCATCCAGATGAAGTGCTTCTGTCTGTGAATTAACTAAAATTGTGGTAGTTGAGGAAAAATGACCCCCATAGACTCATAAGGTGTATCATTACTAGGAGTGTGGCCTTGTTGGAGTAAGTGTGTCCCTGGGGAGTGGGTATGGATGTTCCCGAAGCTCAAAACAGTGTGAGTGTTACTCTCACTTCCTGCAACCTCATTATGCAGATGTAGAACTCTCAGCTGCCTCTCATGTCTGCCTTTATGCTCCATGCTTCCTACCATGAAAACAACAGGACAAAACCTCTGATCATGTGAGCGAGCTCCAATTAAATGCCTTTTTCCTTTATAAGAGATGCCATGATAATGGTGTCTCTTCACTGCAATAGAAACCCTAAAAAGACAAAAATCAGAATTTTCTAGGTAGCTCCTTGCCACAAAACAACAGAATCAACATGTCACAAAACAATGGAAATCAAAAGAATCACAACTTTAAAATTCAGAAGTATACATACTAATAAATATTAACCATTCTAGATTTTATTAATTTGATAAGACTGGGCAAGCAAATATCTACACTTTTTAAATGGGTCGTGAGGAGGGGTCTTCACTCTCCTTATGTGGTTCCATTGGTTTTTGCATGATTTCCCAGATACTATTCGCCAATATTGGTAACGTCAGGGTTCAATGTGAAATAGTATGAGCTGTGAGTATTTCTGGTTGTAGACAAGCTGAAAGAAAAAGAAACTCCACCATGCAACTTATTTTAAGCCTAAAAGAAATTGTCTTCTGCCATTTAACAAGGAGACTTCAGCTAGGTTCTCTCCAAAGTGGGTTGACTAGAAAGTTGAGAAATTTTTCCTTAAATAACCCAATGTCCAGACCCCTTGACCAAGGCTAGCTCATGTGTCTGTTTCCTAAGCTAGCTTGACTAGCAGGAGGAATGAGATCACCACACTTCTCTGAACAATCTATTCAGGAATAAATGCTGTGTCTCCACAAGAAAACATCCCAGAAGAAGAAGGCACTTTGGGACACCAGAGTACAGATAACATGATAATGTGTGCAGGTAAATAGGATATATGCTAGTGAGATCTTTAGGGTGTCAAAGGACTTTAGATTCTCTCCTAAGACAGGACTCCCTTTGTAATGTAGTAAGTGTGAGTATTGCTTGTGTCTTTTCTTTTTAAATTTTTATCAACAGTGAACTTCTATAACCACTTATACAAAACATCTGACTGAGGAAGGACTTATTTGGCTCATAGTTTCAGAGATATCAGTCCATCCGCGGAAAAAGGGTATCATGAGCACATCATGGAGGTCATGGTGGAAAGAAAGGAAACAATGGAAGAGGTCAGGACAAGTGGCACCCTGGAGACAATACAGGGCACAATCAGACACCAAATTCTCAGTACAAAGGGTATTTATTACTCCAAAGGGGCAAGCAGAGGACAGGGGTGGAGGGGGCCGCCTCTGGATCAGACAAAGGCAGAGAGACAGCAGCATCAGCAGGTGATTTTTGCAGGAGTGTAGTAGCCCATGTGGTTGCCTGTCATTGTAGCATGAATCTGTATTAGCCATCTGTAATAACCCGTCTTTGTGGGGGCTTCAGTCACATCCAGCCTACTTGACAAGTTTGTACCTGAGAGGGAGAGTGAGAGTTGAGAAATGACACATAAAGATGTTAAGGAAGAGATCAATACAGAGGACAGAATCATGAGGGCAATCCAGTGAATACTGGACGCACCAAGTTTATTGTTTAACATTTTTTCACAGCCCACCACACTGGTTTTATTAGTCTGCATCCAACTCTGTTAATGCCTTCTCACAGGCCAGCCCAGGCCTTGCCAAGTCACAGATCAGTAACAGCAGTCCAAAGGTGGCCAACATGTGTCCATATATTCCATCATTGTAAACAGAAAGGCTTGTTTCTTCTTGATCAGGCACTCAACAGGTTATAAATGGTAGCTTGGCTCCAACCCAAGCATATGGCATTGAACTTCCTCATCTTGGCAGGCTTTTGTCTGCTTTCTGATTTGAGACGGAGTCTCTGTATGTAGCTCGGCATAGGCTGGCCTCCAAGTTGAGGCAGTCCTGCCATGGCCTCCCAGGAGCTGGGACTAAAGGTATACACCACCACACCCAGCTCACCTTGGCATTTTTAAAAGACTAAATAAGATTCTCTATAAGGCATCTCCACGTTATAAAAATAGTCATTCTACCACACTCTGTAAAAATACGGCACAGTCTTCTTTCTCATGTCTGCAGCTGCACTGTAACGATGAACAGAATGGTTAAAGGCTGGAGTCACAGACTTGCTCTCCTACCGTCAGAACAGCCCGGTACTGCCATGCAAGACACCACCCAGAAATTACACACAGGACCCACCGCAAACAGGACTGTGGGGTCTAAAGTTGTGCCCATATAATTCCACTCTACACATTGTAACAATAAAAACTTTTTTCTTTTAAGAATTTCACATAGCTCAGTCTAGCCTGAAACTTACAACATAGCAGAGGCACCCTGAGTCCTGATCTTCCTGCAAGGAGAAAGGGCATTGTGTCCCACACCCAGCAACAATAATAACCTGAGAATATTAAGAATACTTAGTCTATTTTATGTCTTTCCTAGGTTTTTGTGTTTTGAAACAGGGTTTCTCTGTGTAGCCCTGGCTATCCTGGAACTCACTATGCAGACCAGGGTGGCCTCGAACTCAGAGATCCACCTGCCTCTGCCTCCTAAATGCTGGATTAAAGGTGTGTGCCACCAATGCCCAGCACTTCCTAAATTTTAAAACACATGGCATCTTATACTTTTACCTAACTTCCTAAGTTTTTTTTTGGAGACAGGGTTTCTCTGTAGCTTTGGAGGCAGTCCTGGAACTCACTTTGTAGACCAGGCTGGCCTCGAACTCACAGAGATCTGCCTGCCTCTGCCTCCCGAGTGCTGGGATTAAAGGCGTGAGCCACCAATGCCCGGCATATCCTAAGTTTTAAAACACATGGCATCGTATACTTTTACCTAATGTTTAGAAGCCAATCAGAAGGTGCCTTGATAGAGACACATCTTCACTGTGTACAAAATGATTATCCCACAGCAGGAGAGTGACAGCACAGATGGGTGCAAGTCCTAGTTTTAACCAAGCTCCCAAAAGCTTTCCTCAGGCAAAAACATGGGTTGCCCCTTTACTGAATAGGATGGCAGATTTGTGCAGCTAATCAAAAATGCTTGCAAGCTGATACCACAGAAATGCTCTTATTTACATAACAAGAATTGCTTCCTGGGAAACGGTATACAAATTCAATCACCCTAACCCAAGAGGATTCCTGTATGGATAACCATGGAACCAAACAGGAGATTTTGTTTCTTGTGCAGTAGGATAAATCTTTGGGCTGCTGTAGGTTTAGATCTTTGCTAGAAGTCTTCCTGGTATACAACATTTGCCTCAAGAAAGAAAAACAAAGCCAAGAACAAAACAAAATTGTACAGAAAAGAACACTTTAGAGTCTTTAGTTAATATGAACAGTTTGTATCATTATATGAAATAGTACTGGGATGTATATAAATCCTGCCTAATGTTATTACTAATTCACTTAATGTGACTTGAAAACTATTGCACATAAAACAATTAGTTTTGTGGATGCTACATTTTTATATCAGTGTTATATTCAACTGTTTTATCTGCAGTACACTGGTTGCTAAGTTCCTCAATTTGTCGTGTATGTTCTCTTGGCACAATAAAGTTTGATCTTATACTCTTTATAATATCTGCGATGACAAATTCACTAGGTACAACTTTCTGAAAAACATCCTGGAACTTCTGTTTGTATTTCTGTTTTTGAGACAAGGTCTTAATATGGCTAATCTGGAACTGTTCATGGACTATTCATCTTGAACTCCCAGAGATCTGTCAGCTCTTTCTCCCCCACCCCCAATTCTTCCTTCAGTACTAAGATTAAAGACACACACCACCATACCAAGCACAAGCACAATTTTTCCCACAAGCACAAATGATTAAGTTCCTATTAACTCATTATAAAATAATACCATTCATTTATGGGATTCAAGAAAGTGACAAATTCTACCATAACAACTAACAGGGCTTGTAGCATAATAGCTTTTAGCCAGGTATTTGGAAGTCAATGCCCATTGGACTGGACAGAAGATACAAGCCTGAGTTATCCAGTAACATTCTGTCCCCTGGGGTTCCCTAGCCATAGCGTTATATCTGAGAGCCCTTTGGACTTTTGCCATGGGGAAGAACGTAGATCTCACTGGAGAATGAGTATGGCTCTTCTTTTTGACTAGGGCTGGGTTACTGTTTGAGAGAGGAACCATGCTTGCAGGAGAGGATGATTCAGCTCTATCGCCACTCTCAGTTTTGGAACCTACCAAGTCAACTATGGCAGAAGCCTCCAATCACCTGCACTAAAGTTTCACTTCCACAAGGTGGCACTCCACATCTGGTATGCACATCCTCTTTTTCACAGGACACACATGAAGACCTTTGCCACAAGAGGTCACAGAAACTTCACCTTTGGTTTCCCTCCTTGTTCAGTGGGGTCACCATGCCTAGCTAAGTAGAGATGATTTTTATACATAGCACAGAGAGTGGTCAGAATGGAGGAAGGTGCTATTTTAAGCCTGTCACTATCATGAACTAGAAGTTGGATGAGGCCCTATTCTACCATGCAATGTTATATTGAAGGCCTTAGCTAATAGTCACTAATATAGTGGCATAAGAATAAAAGGGGAAGAGGTAAATCACTTTTATCTTCAGACAGCATTAACAAATGAATTTACTAGCAGTTACAAGAATGTTCCCCTCAGGGAAGGGGACACTAAACAATGTCTCTTCTTCATAAGGTACCAATAGCAAATCAAAGTTCATTTTCACCAAAGTTCATCCTAAGGAACCAATGAGTTTATTGAGTCTGCTTCAGAGAACTGGTAAGACAGATAAACACTGAGCTGAAATCAAGGAATCCAGTGACAGAGAGGGAGGACTGATGAGCATAGGGGTCAAGACTGGGCTTGTTTAACCCACAGAAACAGCTGACCTGAACAAGGGGGAGCTCTTGAACACCAGACTTATGGCTGGGAATCCAGCATGGGACTTATCCAGACCCCCTGAATGTGGCTGTCAGTGAGGAGGCCTAGGCAATCTATGGGGCCTTGGGTAATAGATCAGTATTTATCCCTGTTGTACAAATGGACTTTGGGTGCCCATCCGACAATGAGAGATGCTCTCTCAGCCTGGACTCTTGGGGGAGGGCCTAGGCTCAGCCCTGGATGAAATGACAGACTATGGACACCCCCCCCAATGGAGGGCCTCACACTCCCTGGGGAAGTTGGTGGGAGAATGGGGAGTTGGTGGGAGGGCATGGGAGGAGGGGAGAGGAAAAGGGAGCTGGGATTGACATGTGAAGCAACCTTGTTTCTAATTTAAATTCAAAAAGGAGAGAGAAAACTGGTAAGGAGTTCTTGATGGTTGCGTGGGTGATTCAGAATCAGTCACACTGAAAAATATTTAGCATGCACGAGACCTTTTTATAGCCATATGGATATTTCTTCATGTTAGCTACCCCTCTCCCCCTACACATATGCACCTTTTTTGTCTATATAAAATTGTCTGGAATGCCCTGTTCGTCTCATCTTTTTGTGAAGGAATAGAAACATTAAATAAGCACCACTGTGATCATTTTAGGCAGGCACAGGTGAAGGTATGAAGATGGCAGTTGTTTAATTTAGAAGATAGACAGAGTCCCTGTATTCTATGACATAGATAGGTATTAGGTCTGTCTGTCTTTCTTTCTTTCTTTCTTTCTTTTTGGTTTTTCGAGACAGGGTTCTGGCTGTCCTGGTACTAGCTGTGTAGACCAGGCTGGCCTCACAGAGATCCTCCTGCCTCTGCCTCCCAAGTGCTGGGATTAAAAACAAGTGCCACCACCACCCAGCAGGTTTTTGTTTCTTTAACATAGGTTTGGTTAAAATAAGGAACTTGAAAACAAAAACCTTATTAGTTTGTGTTTAAAGAGATTGTAGTGGTCAAAATAACATTAATATTTGTATCTCTATATACATTCATAAGCACAGATAGAAGCTATTCTTATCTAAAGAGAGGATAATTGTCCAAAAGGAAATGTGAACCCTGGGGTAGGAGCAATCATCTCTCCTTTTTCTTAACTTAATATCTTTATTATTTGGAACTTTCACATAATACACCTTTATCACATTCAATTCCCATGCCCCCCAAGTTCACCCCCAACCTTGTGACCTCCCCCCAAAACAAAAGAAGAAAAAAATTACCAAATCCAATTTGTGTTCCCATATATTCAGTGGAGCTCGGTCAAACTTCCAGTGGCTAGCCTCTTAAAGAAAACTGAGTCCTTCCCTAGCCCCAGCCTCAGCCCCACCCCCACCAGAGTCCACCAGCTGTGAAGAGCTACATGTCAGCATCCTTATCACAATGTTTAAGAGTTCTCTTCAGTGGCTTCCTGTCTAGACTGTTTCTTTTGGGAGGGTTGGGAGAGACTGTCAAAGAAGACTTCTACATCTCTCATTATCAATTGTGAGTCTGCAGTCATAGATACAACTGCCAGCGAGTCAATTTATACCTTTAAGAACAGGGACCATACTGTAGAACCAGAATTGAGATAAGGATCAAGTGGATAGGCCAGAATTATATGATTGCATATGTCATGTCCTTTAAAGCAGATTCTAAAGTTTAGATTTGAAAACTTGTGTTACGTAGGGCTGGGGAAATGGCTCAGTGGTTAAGAGCAGTGGCTCTTCTTGCAGAGGACCTGAGTTCAGCTCCCAGCACCCACATGAAAGATTCTCAATCATCCTTTAATACAGGGGATTTGATTCTCTCTTCTGGCTCCTTGGGCATCAGACCCACCATTGTGCATACACTTACATGCAAGCAAAACATGCAAACACATATGATAAAGACAAATTACTACTTAAAAAACAGCAGACTCATGTTAATTGTCTCAAAAATAGGTTCAGGACCATGGGTCATCTGTATTTGTTTTACCTATGGGGCCAAATAGATAAAATATTTATTTTGACATTTATCTTTATTTTGTTTCTTAAAATTTTAATTTTGCTGTCAACAAAATGAGGCTGAACCAAGTTTAGTTTACATGGGCACTTATAGTAGAGCACAGGTTATTTTAAGAAAGCATAATCACATGGAGCAGAAAGTATGTATATACATAATCATACAAAAGATATGCTTAATAAGTCAAGATTTGGAAAGTTTT